GTCAATTTGACACAAATTACTGAATATCGTGACAATTAGTTCATCAAAGAATTTATTTGATTGTTATTATAATTTACTGTCACTTTATTTACCATTTAATGTTTGGCAAAAACTAGTGATAATAAACGTTTTTAGGTCTTCTATTCATTAGTTTTTTGAGATCAAAAATTGATATTAAAAGCGGAAATCATTGTCTGTTGTGTTTATATGTTGTTCATAAAAATCACATTATTCTTGAACACAATTTGATTGTGTTTTATATCAAATGTCATGAATGACAATCAGTATTGAGTTATTTTAATAGTTTTAAACTTTACAATTAATATAAACTACTTTATAACTCTCCGTATTTATACAATTCTCTCAATTTTACGAAAACAATAAATAGCTATCACTAACTGTATTATTACTGCATAAAGTTATGACAAGTAGTTTTTAGACACTTATTATAGTCCTTTATCTACGGTATTAATATAATAATTATCAATATATTTTATCGGAATGTTTTAAACATAGATATATTTTAAAAATTTTAAATCAAATTATAATTTGTGGATTATAGTTATAAATTATATTTCACATGAATTTTAAATTTCTAATACTCATACTGTAAATACTGTTTGTTTAGTATATTTTTTGAATACTTTTTCATCGCAAAAACAATTTATGGTAAAAATTAATATAACGATTCACTTTTTTCAAGAGTATTTATTAAAATGATTTGTATAGATATATCACAGATTAAATTGTATTATTTATGTAATTATGACCAAAAGTATTGATTTAAACGATGATATCATTTAATGGGATGTATGTCTGGAATGGTTTAGTTTAATGATCGCGACTACAGACAAAAGAAAACTGCTCTTTGGCACAGCTCTGACACTCGACTTCACAACAGTATTTGAATTTACAATTACACGACGTTATGACCCGTCGTCTCTCCCTTTTAATCTTATGTCCGCAAAGAGTGCATAGTTTACGACAACTTCTCTTCTCCTCTTTGGACACACCTCTGGTCCGCCGTTGAGAGCAATAGCGACCTAACGTTCCGTTTGAGCCCAGAGTTGTGTTTGCGATACAATAGTCGGGCGAGTCTTCACTATAGGCCAGACTTGTCTTCGGTATATCAGTTTGTATGGACTTTCTTAACACATCTTTCTCTCGAATTGGGTTATTATAATTGGTGTCAATTTTGATGGCTTTCCTGTACGCGCGCTTCAAATAATCGCCCACTTCTTCAAAACTGTTGATTCGCATCCAACATGTCTGCAGAGAACAGGAACCGCTCACTCCATGACATTTGCATATCTTTATCATCGTTTCTTTCACTGCCTGTCAAACAGAGTTTTAAAAATGTATTTCAATTACATTTTTGAATGGTTTTATTAAAAATGTAAAATTATTCTCAAATATTTACAGTATATCTTATGCGCTACATATGTATTGACACTTAAGTCAAAAGTTTATGTAAATTTTACGAAAAATTTCTAATTTTGAAACACTTTTGAAAAGTGTTTCAAAAAATGTGTTGAAATACTATGATGTAGAAAACCATTGAAGTGGTTAGACTTACTTGTCTGCCGACCTCGTGGTTATGCAATCTGACGATGGCTTTGGAGTCGTGACCCATTTCACGCTCATCCAGATATGTGACCGCTATTCGCGATCCCAACTCAGTGTTATCACTACAACCGCCCCAAAGGAACCCATTCTTCGCGGTGTTCTCGCGGTTATTCTTGTGGACAACACATTTGCAGTCATCGATTTGTCCTAAACTACAATTCCGGGTCACTGTATACACAATACCGGCGCTTATGATCGCCTGAACGAACGCAATCTCTCGATTCGCTAATTCAATAAAATTAATTTAAAATAATTATTTCAAACCAATCGGCGATTAAATGCTTGATTCAAAATACCGGGTAAACTATTTTGAAAGACGTCGGCGAATATCATCTCAGGACACGACCAGCGCTCGTACGAGAACTGTCGAGAGCACTCATCTTTAGGGACAATACATTGGGTTTTATTTCACTTTTAAATATTAATTTTTATATATTTCATTACTTAATCCTTTTTGAGCCCCAATGGCAACGGTGTCCGTGTGGGACAAAGTGGCCTAAAATGCGTTTAAAACACAATATATTTGTTAATATACTTATTATTCACATAATATTATTATATATTCACTTGACTTCCGGCCAGAAGTAAATTCCCGATTGACCTGAAGAATGAATGACACAAAAAAACAATATTAATAACAATATTTTTGAATTATTATCTGAGAACAGATACCAGCCGTAGATTTTGGTCACAAACAAACACAAGACCAGAGAACAGATCTGATTCTTCATTTCAAGTATTGTTTACAAAAAGTGTTACAAAAGTTGTCGAAAAGTGTTATCAATGGGACTGAGTATCCGTTTAGTGGAGTTGTGTTCAAACATTCACATGAATGGCAAGTAAAGGATCCGATCCATTGCCGGACCGCACATAACAATTGGCTGGAAGTGATTGAAAACACTTTTATTGTAATCGTCTACTTATTCATACAATACTACTCTACATATCAATGCATATACGGTATACACATGTATATACTGTACATATATTGATGGCATTTGGAGAGCATTTGCTGGGAATTCATCCCAAAGGTATTAGTTCTTGAGTAAGGAGTGGTTCCAATTGTTTATGGTATTCACTCATTCAGGTCTCAAAGGGTATCATACGAAAGGGCCACCAGTAGTGGCGGATCCCAAGTCTGATCATATAGTCGTGTCTCAGTCCCAGTAGTGATATATTTGTGTTTCTGACCAGAGATCGTGTGAATGGCCACAAACACCGACGATCGATGGCGAGTGAGAAATGGTGTTTCACATAAAGTATGACACAATCGCCACTATTTCATGCCTTAAGCTAGAGGTGAATAAGACTCGAGGCTTTGACCATAACTTCGGTGTTTGTAAAACTTGCCCTAACTTTCTCTCTGCTAAACACAGCGCACAATAATTATTATTGTGCACTAATAAAGACAATACCCTTAGAAATATAGGGATCCGCCACTACTGGCCATTGAGATGATCCCCTTTTCAGTCACCACACAAGCGTTTAATCGGATCATACATTTTCAGATCGCGTATACGTTTTTAATTAAAAAATTAGACTATCGGTCCTTTCAAAACCTATCGGTGCCATAATTTATTCATTAGAAATTCTGCTCCCATTTCGACAATTAATTACTGATCGAGAATTGACTCAAACTTTGATTTTCAGTAATAATTATTTCAATACTTTGCGAAAAATTGCAGAATTTTTGGGGGAAAATGAGTTGTGATTTTGGCTCTGAAAAGAGCGAAACAACACAAAAGTATATTTAATCCCCCAAAAGATCGCTTTAAATACTTTAAGTCCGACACTAAGTACATGAGAACCAACTTATTTGTACAATAGAAATATTTCTTGCCATTCATTGATATCTACATATATTAACCACAACTCAACGCAACACAAAAGAGTGACAACACTTATTATCTGGTTTTTTAATGAATTATATTACAAATGTTTAAACAATTTTTCTAATTAAAAATATGTTGTTCCGGGAAAACAGTTCATTCATAGCGGTTGATATGTTTTAAAAGTGTTTTAAATGACAATTTTATTTCATTAATGTTTACAATAAGTATATTTAGAATTACAAGAAAATAAATTTTTTTAAAACTCTAAACATTTGTCACAAAAAGTAATGGAAAACATTTAAATTGCATTTAAATGAGTTAACAATCAATTTGATTATTAATAATAATTTGAATTACATTTAAAAACTATATATTGAAAAATACAATGGATTTAATGAAAAGACTTTGAGTTAAACATGTTTTAAGATATATTTAACGCTAATATATATAACACTTGTGTATAATCTCAGATCAAATAATAAATTAATGGAAGAATCGATACATTAGTTAAAAACATATATAATTTAATTGTACGGCCCGTACGGCCCCTTCTCTTTCACATCACCGGTCCTTTCCTTTCGCTGTCTAATCATATTCGGGGACACAGTCTTCCGGTCGTACGCCCACCCGATCTTCGCGCACACGTCGATGAAACAAGTGGTCAGATTGTAGTCGCGGCCCAACTCTGATGTCGCGTAATCCCAGGGAAACGTGTGGTGATAGTTGTGGAAACCTATGCCATCATTCAATTCAATCATTAGTCGTTTGCATTCATTGCTAAAAATGCAATCAAATCACACATACCTTCGCCGATGGCACCGATAATTGTGACCTTGTTTTCCGCGGGGCTGATGTGCCTGTCGTAGGGTTTGCGGCCCCAGAAGTGAGCGGCGCTGTTGACGAGCCAAGTCATGTTGAGTGTCCAACAGTATCGCAAGAGACCGCACACGAAGTACGCGTTGAAACAGCTCTCACCCCATAAGATGTTGGGTATAATTGAGGGCAAAACGAAACAGAAGACCAGAACGAGTGGCAAATAGAACTTCCTCTGGAACCGAACCAACGGGTCCTGCAATAGGTCTTCGCAGCTCACGTTTCGTCCCTTTTCGATGACATCGGGGTGTTTGCGACACAACAGCCAACCGCAGTGCGCGAAGAAGAAGCCTCGGTTCGCGTTGTGGGGGTCGGCGTCCGTCTCACTGTATTTGTGGTGCACTCTATGGTCTCGACTCCACTCGTAGATTGAATTCTGTATATTAAGACATTGTTTTAATAACTCGACAAATGAGATGACAATCAAATGCTAACTGACTTGAAAAGCAACGGTGTTGAAGATGGTAAGGATGACTCGCATCGGCCATTTGGCTTTGTAAGCCCGGTGTGACCACAAGCGATGCGCGCCCGCAGTAATCCCCAGACCAGAGATCACATATAGGAATACAGCTAAACAATAGACACGGAATTGATTAGCGATTGTGTTGTGTTTGACATGAAAAACAATTGTATACCGAAAGCCATTGTCTGCCAGTGAGCGGACGTGAAGCAGAGGTAGAGGCCGTACAAAGCGGCCAAATGGAGGCCAGACATGATGGCAACGTTTCGCCACACGATCTCCACTTTGAAGTCGCGTCTCGTTTTGATGCCATCACTAATATCACTAATTTCTGGTTCAATCGGGGATTGAATGTTAGGCGCCATTCCTTCACCTAATTTCGACTTATCTGCAAAAATTCACACAAAAATATTTCACACCTTTTCAATGATATTTCACTTTATATTTAAAACTATTGTATTTTAAAAACAATTACAAGTAATAACTAAAGAGTTTGAAAAATTCAATGTAAAAATGAAAACGTGTTTCCAATTGAATCGCTATAAGAGTCACACCAATGAAAATGAAACAAATATTTTTAGATTAAAATTTTTTTGTGACACTATTTATAACTCATATATACTGATAGTGAGGGTATATATCGAGACGTGGAAACAGACACTGAATGAAAAGTAAATTTATTAAAATATAAATTTAAAAAGCATTGAAAATATGGTAATGAAATGAAATACACATTAATTAAACACTCATTTAACACATCGACAAAGAAAGCAACGAAAAAGTGTCCAAAACTTTACATCCAAACAAAATAAAACAATAACTAAAACAGAAATTCTTACATAAATATATGAATATATAGATTGAGAAACGGCTTAACAAGGGATAAGACAATTGATAGCTTCTTAGAGATGTAATCCAATCATACATTTTGACAACCAATGGATTTGAGACACAAAACACAAATATAAGGAAAAAAATGACAACAAAAAAAATTAATGACAAAAAAAAATCGTATTTCAAATCAAAGCATTCAATGAATTAAAAGTAAAGGTATTTCTAAAAAACTATCTGACAATTAATTTCTGAATTGCTGAATATAAATGTATATAATGTGGTCATTGGTCTGGATGTGTGCCGACAACCGGATGGTGTGAAATGCAGAGGCATTTCGGCATTTCTAGTATCAATTCAATACATTTGACAATTCATTAAATATGATTATGTATTATATATACGGTTGCGATAATAAGTGATTGTTATATAACACATAGATTGCCATATAATGTATATATAGAAAGCCATATGAATGTGGAATTCACATACAAACCTATCTGTATTACTGCTTGTGTTTGTATTGCATAGCAGTGCATACAATAGTAAAATTGATATAAATAGCGTTCAATAGTTATATAAGTTAATATTGTACTTGCTTGTGTTTGTATTGCATAGCAGTGCATACAATAGTAAAATTGATATAAATAGCGTTCAATAGTTATATAAGTTAATAATGTACTAATAAATTAATATAGGTTATAATAATGTCATATTTATTCAATTTTTTACAAATTTTTTATAAAAAAACCCTTAAATTCTGGTTTAATAAAGTCATACATACTTTTAATATCATTAATTTTTTTTACTGGATATTTGTGATTTTTGTGCTTCAGATAATTGTTCAAATATTTTATTATTTTATCATTAATTAATTAGTTATGACATTATTATAACCTATATTAATTTATTAGTACAATATTAACTTATATAACTATTGAACGCTATTTATATCAATTTTACTATTGTATGCACTGCTATGCAATACAAACACAAGCAGTAATACAGATAGGTTTGTATGTGAATTCCACATTCATATAATGTTATATTGTGTACAAATGCTGTACTCAATGGTAAATTCGTGTATATTTTTAGATCCGTTTTTAAATAGAAATTCTTGTTTTACACCAAAACTCTAATTATAAACTCATTTATATTTCAAACACTATTTTTTGTCATTTGTTTCTCTATTTTATTCACACAAATGTTTTCGCATTCAATACAATTGATTATGAATTGTAAATATAAATCAATGGCTAATCAAATGTTGACAACATTTGCAATGAATTACATAATAATGAGATCACTATCTGTTATATAGAGTACTGTTCACTATAACGGGGTATTCGTTATAACGAGTCATACAAATACACGAATACATGAATAATGAATGAATAAATACCTGAATATTATGTAAGAATGCGTTGAAAGTGTCACTCAATTCACTTGTATTAACCGTTTGGACAAAAACACTGCGAATCGGGTATTGAATGAAATGAAAGGCTTTGAGTTTGACTTCACATTAACTGATCACTCGATGGCTGGACTCAAGAGATGCCAAACCATTATATACTCTACGAGTGATTCAATGTTAAGACACTTGCAGTCAATCCATTCATTCAGTACAGAGTCTCACACAGAATGTATTGAGAGATGCAATGCATTCAACAAATCCATTGCCTAACCATTGGATCAGCGAATAGAATACACGACTGTATGACATGTCATACAAACAACGCTTATATAACGTTATCTCT